TGTGACTTCCTCCTTTATCATGAGTTATTTATAAGTGTTATTTAGTTCCCAGATGTTTGGGAATTTTCCAAATATTTTCCTGTTACTGATTTCTAGTTTAATTCTTTTACATCAGAGAGTATACTTTGTATGATTTCACTTCTTTCAAATTTGTCAAAGTTTGTTTTATGGCATAGAGTATGGACTGTCTTGGTGAATGTTCTTTGTGCATTTAAAAAAAGTAATGTTTTATTTTTCCTATTAATGGTAGGTAGAGTGGGCTATAAATGTCAGTGAGGTTAAATTGGTTGATAGAGTTGGTATTCTTCATCCTTATTTTCTGTCTGCTTGTCTTATTAGTTATTGAAAAAGGAGTGTTAAACCCTCTAAATATAGTTGTGACTTTGTCTATTTCTCCTTTAAGCTCTGTTGGTTTTTGCTTCATGTATTTTGAAGTCTTCATGTTGGGTTTAGCTTACTCATTTAGGATTCTCATTGTTTTTGGAGAACTGACCCTTTTATTCTACATCTCACTTTATCCTTGATGTAACTATTCCTTGTTGTGAAGTCTACTTTGTCTGATATTAATATGGCCCCTTAAGCTTTATTTTGAAAGTTTTACGCAGTATATCTTTTTCCATTTAATCTATGTCATTCTATTTAAAGTATCTTTCTTGTACATAGCGTAGAGTTGGGTCTTTTTAATCTGAATTTACCATCTCTTTTAATTTGTATGATTAGACCATTTACATTTAATGTAATTATTGATGTAGTTGAATTTAAGTCTCTTTATCCTTTCTGTTTTTATTCCTTGTTCCTTCTGCTTTTTCCTGTCCTCCTTGGATTGTTCTAACCTTTTTAAGTATTTAATGTATTGTCTTTTTTGTTTTTATCTCTTAGTATATTTTTTATGGTTTTGGTGTTAAACATACCTAGCCTTAAACAGTCTATTTTGAGTTAACATTTTGCCACTTTAAGTAGAATGTAGAGTCTAACAACCTTATAGGTTCCTTTACTCTCCATTCTTTATTTTATAGTTTTCTAAATGGGTATTACATCTACATACATTTAAAATGACCCAAGACAATATTCAGATTTCTTCTTTCAGTAGTCATACTTATTTTAAAGAACTTAAAAGGACAAGAGCAGTTTGTTATATTTAGTCAGATATTTATTATTCTTATTTGCTCTTTGTTCTTAAAGCCTCAGTTTCCCTCTGGTATTAATTTCTTTAGCCTGAAGAACTTTCTTTAGCATTTCTTCTAGAACAGATCTTTTGGCAACAAATACTTTAGTTTTCTCTGATGTGAGAAAATCTTTATTTCACCATCATTCCTGAGCAGTATTTTTGCTGGATATAGAATTCTAGGTTGACACTTTAGTTTCTTTGAACACTTTGAAGGTATTGTTTCACTGTCCTCTAACTTCTATGATTTTTGATGAGAAATATCTAATTATTTGAGTGATTCTTCTCCGTATGGTTTTTTATTATTCTTTACTTTCAAGTTTTTTTTTTCTTTATCTTTGGTTTTCATTGATTTGATTATGGTATGTTTGGGCATGGCTTTCTTTGAGCTTACCCTTTTCCTGGTTAGTTGAGCTTCTTTATTCTGTAAATTCATATATTTTCACAAATTTGGAAGTTTTTAGTCATTATTTCTTCCACAGTTTTCTGTATCTATGTCTCATCTTCTGGGACTCCAGTAATACAAATATTACACATTTTGATGTTTTCCCACTTGTCTTTAAGGTTTGGTTCATTTTCTTCTGATTTTCTCTGTTCTTCAGATGAGATCATTTCTATTTTCACATTCACTAACTTTTCCCACTGCCATATCCATCCTGCCACTGATCCTATCTAGTGAATTTTTTATTTCAGATATATTTTTTTTCAGTTCTAAAATTCCCATTTAGTTCTTTTTTATAGTTTGTCTTTTACTCATTTAATAGTGTTTACCTTCTCATGGAGCATAGTTATATAGTTACTGTAAAGTCTCTGATCATTCTCACATATGGTTTATCTTGGTTGGCACTGTTGATTGTTTTTTCCCTTGAGAATTGATCAAATTTCCCTGTTTCTTTGTAAGCCAAATAATTTTGGATCCTGGATGTTTTGAATATTGTGTTGTGAAAATCTGAGTCTTCTTAAAATCCTCTGGAGAATTTGTTTTTGTTTTTGTTTTGTTTTTGTTTTTTAAAGCATACAGTCAACAATCAGGGTAGATTCAGACCATAAGTTTTGTTTTACCTTCTTTGGATGACATTATCAGTAAAGTTTTCAAAGCCTTGTCTCTGTTGCTTGCGATCTGCCCAGTACATAGGACGTGGGCCTGTTGGTATATAGTTTTTAGGGGTCTCCCTCTTCAGCTCCTGATTGTGAGGAGGGTCCCCTTTTCCCAGTTCTCTCACCAACTAGATGATATTTTTCCTTTTTTGCTGTATGTGCCCTCTACAAAGTTCCCAAAATGGGACTAATTTTCTGCCAACCCAGGAGACAAAAGAGAGGGAAAAAAGTAACATGAAATCAGCCTCACATGGCTTATTTCTTAAAGTTTTATTTCTCCAAACTACTTGTTTATTTACTTTTTAGAGCCCTTAAGGTGCTGCTTTTTGTACTTTTGGAGAGAGATAAGCAATAGTGGGTTTATTCCATTTTAACTGATCACATTTTGTTTTTAATTGGCATTTAAAAATATAGAAATGTAATTTTTAAATACTTGTGGCTTAAATAATCAGTTGTGGCAATTTTAATTTTCTGTTGGTAAAAATTGTTTGATATTTAAAATATCAGATTCTATAATTGAAGAAGCTTGCTAATTTTATTAAGTTTTTAATTTTAATTCCAATATAGTTAACATACACTGTTATGTTAGTTTCAGGTGTACAGTGTAGTGATTCACCAGTTCTGTACATTACTCCGTGCTCATCATAAGTGTACTCTCCATTCCCCATCACCTGTTTCACCCATATCTCCACCCACCTTCTCTCTGGTAACCATCAGTTCTTTATAGTTAAGAGTCTTATTTCTTGGTTTCTCTCTTTCTCCCTCCCTCCCTCCCTCCCTCCCTTCCTTCCTTCCTTCCTTCCCTCCTTCCCTTGCTTTTGTTCATTTGTTTTGTTTCTTAAATTTCACATATGAGTGAAATCATACAATATTTGTCTTTCTCTGACTGATTTATTTCACTTAGCATTTATATTTTCCATCTCCATATATGTTGCTGCAAATGGCAAGATTTCATTGTTTTTTTATGGGTGAATAATATTCCTCAGTGTGTGTGTGTGTGTGTGTGTGTGTGTGTGTGTGTGTGTGTACACACATCACATCTTTATCCATTTATCTGTTGATGCACATTTGGGAATCTTGTTAATTTTATATGTGAAAGAATATAAAACATCTCTTTTGGACAAACAAAACACAGTGGTTGTTTCTACCTTTATTTACTTGGCTAACACAGTTGATTAAAATACACATAGATACATGTACTTTTCTTTTTTTTTAAATGTTTATTTTTTAGAGAGAGAGAGACAACATCAGCAGGGGAGGGGCAGAGAGAGAGGGAGACCCAGAATCCGAAGTAGGCTTTAGGCTCTGAGCTGTCAGCACAGAGCCTGAGCAGGGCTCAAACCCATGGACCATACTGCGAGATCATGACCTGATCTGAAGTTGGATGCTCAACCGACTGAGCCACCCAGGTGCCCCACACATGTACCTTTAAAAGAAAAAGTATTGTGAATGAGTTTGAAGTACTAGAATCTGTCTTGTTTTGAAATCAGTAAAGTAAAACTTGTAGTTTTAGAACTTCTGAAGTATTTGTTTGAATTAGCTACCTAATTAGCTATTCAAGTTATGAGTTATGCATTCTAAACTCATTATGGCAGGGTGCCTGGGTGGCTCAGTAGGTTAAGCATCTGACTCTTGATTTTGGCTCACAGTTTGTTAGATTGAGCTCTGCATCAGGCTCTATGCTAAGAGCATAGAGCCTGCTTGGGATTCTCTCTCTCCCTCTCTCTCTGTGCCTCTCGTGTTCACGTGTGCTCTCTCTCAAAAATAAATAAACTTAAATCATTTGAAAAAATAAATTCATTATGGTTTTTCCTTTGAAAAACAAGTGAAATTTTGATTAATGTTTAATGATTTCATTCACATAAAGACATAAATTTAGTGATTTCATTTATAATAAGATTAGTTTTTGAAGCGCCTGGGTGGCTCAGTCGGTTAAGCCTCTGACTTTGACTCAGGTCATGACCTCACGGCTCGTGGGTTCAAGCCCTGCATCTAGCTCTGTGCTGATGGCTCGGAGCCTGGAGCCTGCTTCTGATTCTGTGTGTCTCTCTCTCTGCCCCTCCCCTGCTCACACTCTGTGTCGCTCTCAAAAATAAGCAAACATTAAAAAATATATATAATAAGATTAATTTCTGGTGAAATCATTTAGGGGGAAGTATGTTTAAGTGAATTTTATTTTTAAAACATCTGTTGAAATATACATACACATATCAATTGATATGCATTCTAATTTAAAAACATCATAAAGTTTGGAAAGCTTGTAAAACTAGGAAATTATTTATTTGTGTCCATTATAGTACCTTTATGATTTTATTGTAAAAAGGTAAATTTAGAAGTAAATTTAATTTTTGCATGGAAGAAGCATTTAGAGTGCTTTGTTACAGCATCCATATATAAAATCTGTTTGTAGACTAAAGTGGTAAGTTGGACTTTACTTCTTTTTTGTCTTTTTTGTCCAAAATGTGACACAAATAGGAAGGTGATACAGTTAGCATTTGAAATATCTTTCATCTTTATATGTAACCATGTTTGGATCTTTGGTTCAAATTTGGGCTCTGTTGTCCTTCTTTCCATTAAACTCTATATGAGATTTGTAGCTTAGATTAAGGAGAGAATGGAGTTATAAAAATGGCAGACCTAGGTCCATTCTGAAAGGGTTTAAAATGTATCATTAGGTTTTAGAATTGGAAATTTTTATGATATTTGAAATTTACTTCCCTCTCTCCCTTTAAATTAGGTGCTCTGTGGATGTGTATAGTTTTAAACCCCCACTGCAAGTTGGAACAGAAAGCCAGTTGGCTAAAACAGCTGAAAAAGTGGAACAGTGTTGATGTCTGTCCATGGGAAGATGGAAATCATGGCAGTGAATTACCCAACTTAACCAATGCTTTGCCTCAGGGTGCAAATGCTAACCAAGGTGAGTCCACAGTAATATTTTGCTCACTTTATATTTGCTTAATTGTGCATATATGTTTACAACAGTAATACAGTATACGTGGGAAAATTATTTTGCCCACTAAGAATTCACAATTCAGGGACTTAGTGTTTTGACTGTGATTGTATGTATTTTAATTTTTACCTGATATCTTTGTGTATGCTTTTTCATATTATCAGAATACAAATGAATAGTGTACTTTTATGTATTAGAATGTGTTAAAATTCCCTATTAATTATTTAGTTTGAAATAATGTAAAAAAATCATGGAATACGGAAGTAATATATTACCTTGTAAAACAAAATGTTGAGAGGCTTGAGAAACTATTTTTATCTCTTTTGGTGCAACCCACTTCATATTTGGGTTGCTGTGTAATTTAATCAGTTAAAATTTGTTAATTTTAAACATAACAAACATTTATGTGACTGGGTTGGAGGGGCATGGGATGCTGTTGGCATTTAGAGTAGGAAAATTCTTTATTATAATGCATTGTGTAACATACCTGTTCCCACATACTGTAAGGTGATAGTGCCTTCCAGTCTTTGGAACAACTAAGAGATGCTTCCAGACATTTCCAGATGTCCTCTTAAGGACCTGTATCTTTCATTTCTATGCTCTTTTTTTCAGCTTTTCCCTTTCTGTTGGATCTACCCATTTAGCTCAAGTTCCTCTCATCTTCAAAAAACAAAAACAAAAAACAACTCTTTGCTTGGCCCCATTTTCTCTTCCAGCTACTACACAATTTTCTCCTCTCTTTCAGAACCATGTCCTTACAGAAGTTAAGTCTTAACAAATAAAAATTTCATTCACTTATTCCTGTAACTATTTTTGTGTGATTTTTTTTGTGTCCCTGCTGCCTCTTTTGGCAGGGGAGATATCTGGGGGATTTGACAGACTATGACCAATGTAAAGTGGGAGTTAAATGACAATGGAAGGATCCAGAATCCAGATTGTCTTTCTGTATGTGCTGGCCCCATATGGAGTTGGTACTACTGAAAGAGCTGGCCATTGTGTCAAGTGTGAATGTTACTATAGTGTTTTCAGTATCTACAGAGAAAGAAAATAAGGTCTTTTACTCCATAGGGACTTGTCTTACCAAAAAGAAGTTTTAAGGTGTACTTGGCTGGCTCAGTTGGTAGAGCATGTGACTCTTGATCTCAGGGTTGTAAGTTTGAGCCCCATGCTGGTTGTGGAGATTGCTTTAAAATAAAATCTTTTGAAAAAAGAAGTTTTAGGACTTGGAAGAGATGCTTGTCTGCCTCAGCTTTGTCTAGAAATATTTATTTGCTTTGGGAATTCAGTATTTGAAATCTGTCATATTTTATTGCCCATGATTATGTTAATTCATAACTTCAGAGAAAATAAGTACATCCCAGTTTCTTTTCTAGAATTATGGAATTTTCAGGTTTACAATTTAGTTTTATTTTCTTCCATTTCTAGGAAACGGTATATCTATATCTATATAGGTAAATTACTTTAATCTCCTTTTACTTAACTGTTTGTTTCTCTGTGTTTCACTTCCCACCTGCTTTTTGAGACTGCCATCCTAACATTTTACAGTTTACATTTTACTTTACATTTGGTTACTTTCCCTTTGATTAAACATAAATATTCCATAGGCTTTAGAAAGCCTTTAAGAAGTGGTCCAGCCTCCAGATGAAACCGCTCATTTCCTTTATGGTTTGGTCCTGGGATATGAAGTTAGAATCTAGTTTCTAAGGGTAATATTTCTTGGGCCTAAAGGTAAAGGCACCATAGTTTCTGTTTTTAGCAGAATATCTGCATCCTGCAAGAGGCTGTCAGAAGAGACATCTCTACAGAGGGACTCTGATGTTCAGCCTGCAGTAGTGCTGGGAGTGCTGAGCAGGCTTGGTTGGGGAAAGCCAGCAGAGCCCAGCCGCCATGCCTCTGCAGCTGGGCGGAGTGTGTGCATGACGCAGACCATGAGCAGAATTGAATGTGCTGGCAGATTGGAGTGAATGTGAAGGGTGAATCAGGCCTTATCTTCGCTAAGATTATTTGTTAGAATTAACAACAGTATTAAAATCCGCACTCTTTGAAAGAGTTTTTTTTTTTTTTTAATATACCAGAATTGTGGCCAGTTTTTTTATTTTAATTTTTTGATAAGTGAGCTAATGGTTTCCTCTTTTACTTTTCTGAATTTCCCAAGTTTTCTTTAATCGACGTGTATTGATATTACATATGCTTTATTAACAACTTTTTACAAATTTGTGTATTTATCATTTTGAAAATTTGGCGAATGTAATCTGTTTCTTTTTTCCATCTTGCTGCAAAAATAAAAAAAACTACATGGGGCACCTGGGTGGCTTAGTCAGTTGGGCGCCCGACTTCGGCCCAGGTCATGATCTCACAGTTGGTGGGTTCAAGCCCCACGTCGGGCTCTGTGCTGACAGCTCAGAGCCTGGAGCCAGCTTTAGATTCCGTGTCTCCTGGTCTCTCTGCCCCTCCCATGCTCATGCTCTGTCTTGCTCTGTCTCTCAATAATAAATAACGTTAAAAAATTTTTTTTTAATAAAAACAGAACTACAGACACTACAATAAAAATTGACCATAATTTTGATATAAATGAAACTAACTTTTTATCTTTGTAGCCATTGTCTTTGTACATAATCTTTATTTTATTTCCCAGGTTGTTACAGACAATGTTATATCTTACATTTTCATTTAGTTATTATTTCATTAGTATTTAGCCTTTTTTGTTAGAATTGGTTTTATTAATCTTTTATAGCTAACCACCGTTGGAAGTGTGGTGCATTCCTGTACCTTTCACTTTGCTCATACGATCACAAATATGTGAAAAGTTAAGATTTTTGCTTTATTTATTTTTTATCTTATTTATTGTAAATGTTCCTCTTTGAGAGAGTGAGTGGGGGAGGGTCAAAGAGATGGGGGGAACAGAGGATCCTCCAAAGCAGGCTCTGCACTACTAACAGTTTGATACGGGGCTCAAACTCAAGAATTGTGAGGCCATGACCTGAGCCGAAGTCTGATGCTTAAGTGACTGAGCCACCCAAACCCCCTGAGATTTCTGCTTTTTTTAAAAAATGGAATCATACTCTACAACTTACTTTTCTTAAGTGATACCACAGTGAGCCAAATTGACAAGTAGAACTCTTAATTCTTTTAATATATGCTTTATACTAAATTGCTTTTTTAAAGGCTTGATTTAGTTTTCACTTCTCTTTCTGTGATTTGAGCTAAATAAGTGTAATGACAGAGCCACTTAAAATGTGTAAAATTTGGACTTTGGAATATTTACCCAGTTGACACTGGGTGAGAGGTCACGGAACCAGTTTTTTGTTGGGTAGGGATATCTTTACTCTGCTCAACACAAAGCCCCAGTAGGTTCAAAGGGCCTTAAATGTAGGGCCCACTCTTCCTCTTTGCAAGGTGTTCATCTGCCCACTGGGCAGGGCCGTGACAGATATGTCACTATTTATACCTCACGTGTTCAGTCATCATACATTTTGATATGTCTCCCATTTAAATACAGATATCTAAGTTGACCTGAAACCAAGCTGAAGGTTTGGTAAAACTGAAGGTCTCTCTTGTGAAGACCTCGCGGAAGCCTGTCACAACAGCTGAAATAGCTGAGTTTGGAGTGTGGATATTTATGTTTTGATCTTGATGGCCATTGCCTGGCTGTGTGACCTTGGCAAGTCACTTTAATCTCTCAGTTTTCAGTTCCATCAGCAAAATAGGGGAGTTGCACCAGATGAGTTTTCAGAGTGCTTCTCAATTCGGTTGTGTTTTGGTTTTTATGATTCCCTTTACATCTTTGTGGAGCCATAGCTCCAGTTTGCTTCTCATTTAGTTAAGCTTCAGTACAGTGAGGGGTGATACTTGAGCTAAGTAAAATCTATATAAGAATAGTTTGTTTTCCTGATTATCAGTTGAGGCTTGCTAAGGTTTGTGCCACAGTTGAAGGTAAGTCTGGAGTGGGGACCCGAGGTGTGGGATTGCAGTTGCAGAATTGGAACCATGTCATCCAGAGGGACTGAATAATCCCAGGATTTAGGATGAGAATATTCTTTATTCCCCAAACATTTCTTTTCTCCGTCAGGTCCTGAAACTTGAACCCTCTTCGGAGTGTATGCTTCTGCTCTTTTGTGATGCCCCGGCATACACTATGCTGGGGACATCACACCAGTCATGGAACCTGCACAGGAGTCAGGAGGCAGCCTGTAGGGGCAAGGTAAGTGCGCTGGTTTGTTTTGTAGCTATGTTGTGTGGCTTTGTGAAATGTTAACTATATGCATTTATGCCCTTTGGGATATAAAGTGGCATTTAAGCATTATATCCCAAGAAGCATAATAGTTTTAATTGTGCAAAACCGCACAATATAGTTAAAAAATACAACCAAAAGCACAACCCTTATGCATATCTTTTAAAGGCTGATTGCATCTTCCTGAAAGGTTCCATGGCTGGTGTCGCATCTCTTGCATAGTGTTTGTGAGAGCTGTTGATCCCATCAGGGCAGCCCACCACAGCACCTCAGAAGTGGGGAGCAGTGAGTTTTCATGTGACTTTTGTGCCGAGTGCCTCCTTTGAGTGTATTTGGCATGGAAACTAGACTTGACCCTTCTTTTTGCAGGATGCCTTTAACCTTAGCTTTGATGGCTGCAGAGTGTTTGTGTTTGATAAAACAAGTGAGTGGATGGTGGCTCTTTGGGCTGACTTGCCTCCTAGTACTTAGGACACGAGAGTATTCACCCTTCATCTTTCTGCTTAGGGGGTGCAGGACAGTGTGTGTGGGTGTGTTCATGAACATCTGGCCACAGAATGGTATGACTGATTTATTCACATGTGAATAATAGCTGACACGGCTTTCTGAATTGTGGAAAAAACAGATTCATCGAACAGGCCACATCGGACAGTGTTCACCCGAGCCATCGAGGCATGCGATCTCCACTGGCAGGATAGCCACTTGCAGCACATTATCAGCAGTGACCTATACACCAACTACTGTTACCATGACGACACTGAAAACTCCCTCTTTGACTCCCGCGGGTGGCCCCTCTGGCATGGTAAGTGGCCAAACCGGAAAGACATTTCCATGACTTACTTCTTTGTTTCGTTTCTATAGCATTATTGGAGTGGGAGGTGGAGAGTTGAGGGATTCAATGGGAGAGGGATGAATGCTTGGCAGGAGGAGCTGAGTTTTGCATTCAAATCCAAGTTCAGAAATGGCTTCTTAGGTCTTTTTAATAGTATTTTGGGGAAAAACATCATACTATTTACATGCTATTTTTGCACATATATCTGACGATGACAACTTTGTCCCCTTAACTTTCTGTTTTAGAACATGTTCCTACAGCTTGTGCAAGAGTGGATGCATTACGTTCTCATGGGTACCCCAGAGAAGCCCTGAGACTAGCAATAGCTATTGTTAACACGTTAAGAAGACAGCAACAGAAACAGTTGGAAATGTTCCGGACTCAGAAAAAAGGTGAATGTGAAGGAGTTTGTTTCCAATGGAATGGGATTCTTGGTGATGACATCACTGGATTTTGTCATCTTTTGGGGAGAGATGGCTTTTGAAATTAGGAGATGGCTTTACTCACTACTCATTTGGAATATGTAATAGCTGATCTGTGAGAAATTTGAGGCATGTTTTGTCTTGGTTAAGTGTTGTAAGAAGTAGGATTTTTTAAAACATTTCTTAGGTTAGTTAATTTTTTTAAGGGGATAATTTTGTTGTTGTTCAAGTAGTTATTTAGTGTGTCTGAATTATCAAAAATGCCAGTGAGCCAATAGCTTATTTTGTGAAAGTGCATTCTAATTCTAACAGTAAGGGGTCTGGGGGCACACTGTCCATGTTTGAATCCTAGCATTGGGTCCCAGCTAGGAGACCTTAGGCAGTAGATTCCTCATCTGTGGATGGAGCTCAGTAGAGGATCTATTTATTAGAGTTGTTGAGAAAATTAAATAAGTTAATTGCTACAAAGCTCTTAAAACAGAGCCTGGCATAATATGTAAGTACTTTAAAACTTCTTAGCTGTAACAGTTTGTGTGTCGGGACATGGTATTTGTTTAAAGTGATCAGATTTGATTTTTCAAATTCTGTAAATAACATCTGATGAGCTGCCAACTGACAGGACACATTTAACTTCTCTTTTTCTTAATTTACTATTAATCTTTTAAATAAGTACTGCTGAGTAACAGTAATTTCAGAGAGTTATACTCAGAAGGCCCTGATCAGAAAAAGAAATACATATGCTTTTTCTGATTAATTAATGCACTTCTTGTTCCTTCCATAGATTATAAATTTTTTTATGTTGCTTTGATTAGGTTTGTTTTTTCACTGTGGAGTTTTATTTCTTATTCAGACAAATACTTTTAGCTGCTAGGGGTTTTTTTTTGAGTTATGTTTTTGTTTTTAATCCTTCTATGATTATACACACACCAAGGATACAGCTAAAATTTATCACAAGTTGTTGTAATAGGCTGAAAGTTGGAATGAGTGTTTGTTGTAACTTTTAATACCCTCTATATCAGAATTATTATAGATGTTAATTAACATTATCATTTATGTGATGAAAGAAAATATCAGAGTTAAAATTGTAACCAAAGAAAGGGGAGCTCAAATGAAATTGGAAGGTAATATCCCTGGCTATCATTATTTTGTTCATTTCTTCATGTTCTTCATAACATAACTGGTTACCAGATGTGTTTACAAAACATACTATGTAGATTTTTAAAAAATTTTTCTGAAATCCCTCTTCCCCTAAACACAATCTATAGCCAAAAGTAGCCACAGTCTATAGCTACTTCTGAAAAGTATAAAGGATAATAATAATTCAAGCTAAGAGAAGTGAGGCACTTTTTGTACTGCAGAAATAAAGCTAGGTCATGATGATTATCAGATTAAAAAAATCATAAACTTTTCTTAGAAATGTTGTTTTTAGGGCCACATGGATGGCTCAGTTGGTTAAGCGTTCAACTCTTGATTTCATTTTAGGTCATGATCTGTTCAGTTCAGGTCATGATCTCCACATTGGGTTCTGTGCTGACAGCATGGAGCCTGCCTAGGAATCAATCAATCTCTCTCTCTCTCTCTTTCTCTCTCTCTCTCTCTCTCTCTCTCTCTCTCTCTCTCTCTCTCTCAATAAACCATCTTAAAAAAATGTTTTAAACAATATCTGGGGCATCTTGATGGCTTAGTCGGTTGAGCATCCATCTCTTGATTTTGGCTCAGGACATGATCCCAGGTCGTTGTGGGATCCAGCCCTGCACCGGACTCCATGCTGAGTGTGGAGCCTGCTTAGGATTCTCTCTCTTTCTCTCTCTGCTCCTCTCCCCCACTCATATACTCTCTTTCTCTCTAAAAATAAAAAATAAGTAAAGATTTTTAAAATGTTGCATTATCTAAGAAACGGAAAGTGTAAAAAATGTTAGTTTGTATAGGTAAATTAGAATATGTGTTAAGTTAGACTCCTTTAATTTGTCTTTGAGACCATTCTTAGACCCATTTCTCTTTTATCTTGTGAGCAATGATAACTTATTTCAGACTATTCTTAATTATTACTGTGATTACATTTCTATACCTATATCTTTTCTACTTTTTTATTGGTTCATATTAAAAGAATAGCTTTTCCACAGCTGTTACAATTCCAAACTGCCATGACAGCTATTTGTTATGTGATCAAGATTAGTATATGTATATACACCTTGTACATTTTCAATACTGTTTGGCATAATATGTCAGCTTTTTGTTGTTAATTGAGGTATAATTCACATATAACAAATTAGTTCAGGTGTACAACATAATGATTCGATATTTATGTATTTTGAAATGATCACATTTCATTTCATTTGTATTTATTTTTGAAGGAAAGAAATATAGTGTGAGTGGGTAAGGGGCAGAGAGAGAGGGAGACACAGAATCCAAAGCAGGCTCCAGGCTCTGAGCTATCAGCACAGAGCCTGACTTAGGGCTCGAACTAACGAGCCATGAGATCATGACCTGAGCTGAAGTTGGATGCTTAACCGACTGAGCCACCCACGCACCCTGACAAACTTTTTTTATGATGAGAACTTTTAAGATTTACTTTCAAATATACAGTACGGTATTATTAATACATTTTTAAGTGTTCATTTATTTATTTTTGAGAGGAAATGAGCAGGGGAAGGGCAGAGAGAGATGGAGATAGAGGTTCCCAAACAGGTTCAGCACTGTCAGTGCAGAGCCTCACTCAGGGCTAGAACTCAGGAACCCTGAAATCAAGAGTCGGAGGCTTAACTGACTGAGCCACCCAGGTGCCCCTGCAGTACAGTATTATTAACTGTAGTTGTCCTGCTGCACATTATATCACTATGACTTGTTCATTTTATGAATGGAAATTTGCACCTTTTGGCCCCATTCACCCATTTCACCCACACCCACCCCTGCCTCTAGCAACTACCAGTCTTTTCTCTGTATCTAGAAGCTTGGGGGTTTTTTTTAGATTCCACTTATAAGTGAGATCATACAGTATTTGTCTTTCTCTGTCTGACTTCACTTTGCTTCTTGATTTTGAAAAAAAAAAAAATGACACTCCTTTTTTTGTTTATTTCTCTCTTTTCTCTTTTTTCACTAATGTTTGTGTGGAAAGAAATAAGAGGAAATACTTTATAAAATTTTATGTCGTTTCCATCACTTGATAATAGATTTATTTGTGTAAGTACCACACCTCCTTTCACCATATATCACCCCCCCCATAAAACATATATATTTTGTTGTTCCAAGAGTAAACTCCTCTTTCTTTTTTCATACTGATTATGTATATGAAAAACAGTGACAGAAACTAAAGGGAAAGACCCCTCCAAGGAATATAAGACTCAACTTCTATAAATTTTCATATATTGTGCCCAGCCATGGTTTATTTTGTATGTACTGATAGTTGATGGTCTAAAACCAGAAGACTTCTAAAAGGACTGTTGGATCCATGAAATGGTTCTTCAGTTATTTACAAAAAGTCAGCTTTTTTCTTGGATATTTTATCTTGTGTATAGATTTCATTATATTTTCCTCTAAGAAGGAGCTACTCTTATTTATTACTTTAGTAAACACTTGGATGTAAAATTTTGCATATTTTACAACAAAGAACATATATTAGAATATTTACAGCTTTTTTCTCAGGACTATAATTTAACATAAGAACTTGAAAGTGCTACCATTCTGTTGAGAAAATGCAAAGGATATGTTTCATCCAAATTATGTTATCTTCTGCTGTAGTTCCCCTTTGTGGCAAAGATCCTCTCTTTAATGGCTTACAGATCCATGATAATGAGGACTTTCATAGGTGCTAGGGTAGTAATTAAATGATACCCATAGAGAAGTCCCAAGTCGGACCCAGGTTGCCACTGCCATCTAGTCTCCCGTGTAGGTGACCCAGTGAACATTGACTTCGATGTATCTTCTTAATATAGTTATCCAGTATAATTCCAGGGAGACTTCTTAGTCTTCTCTAATGCCACTCTTGGGGGAAGTAAGGGGAGTTGTTCCTCACTTCTCGGTAAAAATTTGGAACTCATTTTTCCTCATATAACATAATTTAATAGTATAAGTGGTAATGTTAACCCAGTACCTTGGACACACAGGCCTGTCCTCGAAAGTTGGCACCATTTATATGGATTTACAGATAAACTTTGAGAACACCAAATTGTTCACATGTTGGGTATTATGTGTACGATCGTTTTTTTAATTAAAGAAGAATTGCCAGTGGAATTCAGGACTAATTTGTTAGGATGCCACTATTAAAAGCATCTCTTCCTCTACTTGTCTCCATCCCTCAATTTTCTTTTCTTATACAGAGCTACCCCATAAAAGCCTCACCTTGATAACCAATCTCGAGGGCTGGGTTGGACACCCCCTGGACCCTGTGGGCACTCTTTTTAGCAGCCTTATGGAAGCTTGCCGAATTGATGATGAAAGCTTCTCTGGGTTCTCCGATTTTACAGGTAACACTGTTGGCATTGTCTCCTGTGCTTTTTTTCCCCTAAACCTTGAGTGGCATTGGTCAGTGTTTCTTGTCACAGTTGGTTTTGTGAATCTGTATGGTTAGTAGTACTTTCGGTTAACAAGGGAGCAAGGAAATGGGCATTCCCATGGTTTTATGGAAAACTTAACACGCTGAGAAAAATCTTCGAATCCACAGTTGGGCGCATGTGTTAAAGAACCTTAGAAATACGTATTTTCTTCTAGCTAGTGATTCTGCATCTAAGAATTTATGACTCTTTTCCAGCGTTAAGATTTAAGATAAAGATGTATATCCTAGCATTGGGAACTAGAAATTTGGTTACTTTTTAAATTTGTTTTTGCCTTAGAAGTTACTTATGACTTAAATGGGTTGTAGTCTACTTTAAGAGGATTATCTAATGTCACTAAAAGTGTTTTACATCACACATTATTTTATTTTATTAAGTTCATTTATTTATTTTGAGACAGAGGGCAAGTGGGGGAGGGGCGCAGAGAAAGAGAGAGAGGGAGACAGAAAGACAGAGGATCCCAAGTGGGCTCTGTGCTGACAGCAAGAGAGCCCACGTGGGGCTTGAAGTCTCAGACTATAAGATCATGACATGAGCCGAAGTCAGACACTTACCCAACTGAGCCACCCAGGCTCCCCTACGTCACACATTCCGTTAAAGCATGTTTTGAGATTTCTCTCTGGCCTCTTGAAACTTAAGAATCAGCGTTAAAATCACTGCCTGTGGGCTGTGGACAGAGGTGTGGCAGGGAGGGAGTACTGTCCCTTTTCTGCTCTCATGAATGGGTGAACACAGAGGATTAATAATGTTGTCCCTCCACAATTTCCCCTGTGGTGTTTGCCTTCATGGATTATGGGTGCCCCAGACTCTGTCAGGACGGTGAAAGCTATGACTCTGAATTCATTTTCCTTGGGAGTCTGATGGTTGAAGTTGGTTAAAATTTCTCATAGAAGTGCTTCAGCAGAGATAGGAGAATGCTCAAAGAATCGTTCCTCTTGATAACTGATATGACTCTTTGATAGCAGAAAGGACCTTGAAATTGGTTAGTATGTTGTGTTCTCTAATTTCTTCATTAAATTCCAATATTGTGATAACACTTTGGAAACAACTTCTTTTTTAATGCCGGGCTTTAAAGAGTTGGTAACTATGGCAGTCATTATATAAGTTTACTCTTGTTTAAGTAAAGTTTTTTTTTGTTTTTTTGTTTTTGGTTTTTTTTGGGTTTTTTTTACTCTTTAGTATTCTTAAGATCTCTTCTTAGATTTGTAGGGTTTTTTGGTGATTCATTTTCAGCGGGAGGAAAATATTTGTAATATTCTGTCCCTTAAAACATACATATCTAGTCATTCATGGTCATTTTTTAAAAGATCTAGAAAACTACGCACTTTAACGTAAGAAACGTATTTTCTATTTTTCTTGGAATAACGTCAACGATTCATTTAATGGTCCTGGGTAAAATAAATATTTATACCTATCGGTACCTGCAAAAGTAGTATCTGAACTCTGCTTTCTTTTGTGACATTTTACAGAGAATATGGGACAGTGCAAGTCTCTGGAATACCAGCATCTCCCTGCACACAAATTCTTAGAAGAGGGGGAATCCTATTTAACACTAGCTGTGGAAGTCGCCCTGATAGGGCTGGGACAGCAGCGTATCATGCCTGACGGGCTGTACACACAAGAGAAGGTTTGCCGGAATGAGGAGCAGCTCATTTCCAAGCTTCAGGAAATTGAATTGGATGACACACTGGTGAAAATTTTTCGCAAGCAAGCAGTCTTCCTATTAGAAGGTAGTGTGATAAAGAAGTTTTCCGCTTGTTCTGCCAATTTTATTGAGGCACTAAGCTTTCTTATGTTGGGAATACTGTTTTTATGCATTCAGTATGGTAGTTATTCTGATTGGTATGGCCACTGAATGTCACAGGAGTGTTTACTATCCAAAAAATAATATCACTTAATCAAAAAGTACTGATGTTCACTTGTATGTCATTTGATATAAGTGGTGATGTGAGATAGCCTGTTAGAAATGAGCCTCTTTTAATGCCACAAACCTTGAAAAGGACTGTCACTATTTAGTCTATGTTGTTACTGAGATAAATGTTAAGTTTGATATTTTGCGAGTTCTTGCTGGTAGCCATGTACCTATTTACTTGATCACTTAAATAATGAAATGGAAATTCATCGGCATTCCTCTGAATTATTATTTTGGCTTTTACATGACATCTGGGTTTTGAGTATGTTGTTTTGCATGTGTTAGCAAAGGACTTGGAGGCTCCAGGAATGAATTACCACTCGCTAATTCTTTCAGAGAATTCATTAAGCGTAGATTCACCAAGTTCAAAGTTTCATGGACTCTCTAAATCAGTCTTAATTCTCTTCTTTTTATAAGGTCAAGAGCTGAATGGCCTAAGAAATTTTGGCTGGCATTATTTTTAAAAAGTTTTTTTTCTTTGTTTTGTTTTTTTTCTGGAAAAGAGTAAGTGTAATTTGTATACTAGCCTAATCTTTTATGCAAATTTCGGTGATGCCTACTGGGTAAAGTTGCTTCTATATCTTAAGTACATGGGTATTATTATTGTGGGATTGTCTGTGATTGATAGATGAGTAAAGTGTGGTGTTCTCATCATATATTTAGAACTGTTGCATACAGGGAAAGGATTTAGAGAAAATAACATTTCACTGCCTTTTATTTGTCCAAAGCTAAAGATCTCTTTGAAAGAAAAACCTTTATCAAATCTATTACAGTATCATACATTTGTGTGTTTTATAAGTGTATTTTAAAGGGAAAATGTTCTTAATAACAAGAGTAATTTTGGTAAAATTCTTGATAGTAATTTTTTGAAGCACTCTCCTTAACTTTTTTTTTTCTTCTAAAGATTAAAAAAAGCCTATCTTGGCAAATTTCAGGTGATCTTCATTCTTTTATTACTGTTTTGTTTTAGTTCCCTCCTGTTTAATTCCTTTTGATACAAGCAGTACCATTAGACACAAACTTTTATGTTGTCATTGGCTCTTAGTAACTGAGTTTTGATTTCCATTATACTGAAGGACAGGAAGAGAATGTGTGCTTTTTATAGAGTTGATAGTGTCTTATACCTGTTTATCATTTGCCTTTTTAAATGTCTCCATGTTCATTACTCATGAATATTTTAAAACTTTTTCTTAGCTGTTGATTAGCGCATCCCTCCCTGTTAAACATTTTTTTTAAAGAACTGTGCCTGCTAAGGAATGCTGTTGATTCATCACTGCTTCCTTTACTTTCCTGATCCTGCTAGGACTGTAAAGAATGGGTAGTGCAGGACGGGAAGCAGTCTAAGGGGAAGCCAAGGGACCATTTCTGTAAACTCCTGAAAATAAGCACTCCATGACTGAGTTCACTGCACTGGGGCATCAGTTCTTCTTACAGTTACTTTGTAAATTTCAGGAGCATAGTAGTTAGCAGACACTAACTATTCTGAAATAAAAGATGCTAACTTTTTCTGAAAAAGAAACAGTAGTAACCCTGTATTGTTGCTGCGTGTTGATCGCTTTTGACCACAATGCAATATTGGCACATTGGGCCAATTGACATAATGGTAAAGCACTTCTGGGAGTTCAGGGATTACACTGATTATTCATCTACAAATAATTCTGAATAATCGGCCGAATGTTTTTCTTGTTGGGAGGTATCATAACAAGAAGTGTTGATTATGTATCCTGGCCTGTTTTGCATAGCACAAAAAGGTAACTTGATGATTTAAGGGAAACATTGAAAGGAAATGGAGGAGAAATGAAGAAAATAGATAGTCTACAAGTTTGCTATAACTAGGCCTTAAGTAGAGTTAGTGTCTTAGTCTTCCCAGGCTGTCATAGCAAAATACTGCAGAGTGGGTGGCTTAAGCAATAGAAATTTCACACAATTCTGGAGGCTGGGAAGTCCAGGGCCAAAGTGCTCGATAATTAAATTTCTGGTGAGCCCTCTCTTCCTGTCTTGTATATGTCTGTCTTCTTGTGCTCTCACAAGCAGAAGGGTAGAAAGAGAAAGAGAACTCTTTGATATCTGTTCTTATAAGGACACTAATCCTATTGGATCAGGGCCATACCCTATGAACCCATTTAACCTTCATTACCTCTGTAAAGGCCTTATGTCCAAGTATAGTTCACCTTGGGAGTTGGGGCTTCTGCATATGAATTGGGGTGGGGAATATAAACTTTCAGTCCATAATAATAATTTAAATAGTTTGGCCTCATTATTTAAACTAAAGGCAGAACTATAATGCTATATCAACTTTTGCAGAATATTTTTAAATGTCTTAAACGTAAAAGAAAGGTCATGGATTTGGTAAAATTAGAACTGTAGGGTGGATTTTAGTTTGCCTAGGTAAAAAAACAAATTTTTATGAGAATACGATTTTCAAAGTCCTTAAAAAATGAACAGTTCAAAAATACTAACCAAAAAATACAGAAATGTTAAAATAATCTCTATTAAAATTATCTGTAATGTATCATGCTCCTACTCAGTGCCCAATTCCAACTCTTCACACCATTTCTTCTGAACTGACATTTCTTGCATTCTAAACTCTTCGCCAGACTGATTTTTCTCATGGAAAACAAATGTATTATGTCCTTTGAGCAGTAGTGTCATGGTTCATAATTCTAGAAATCATTAAACAAATGTTACCCAAAGGTGACATGGAAACTAATTTATTAAACACTTTACAGTAACTAAACCTCAAAGTACCTAAGTGGAAAGTAGTTGAACTAACCACTGTGGTTTCCTTTCAAAATTTATTTTAAAATTTGGTATTGCCTTTCTTCGGGCAGCGTTCAGAGAGCTCACAAGGGAAGTTAGTTCTGTCACCATGCCTGTCATAACCTACTAAGAAATGAGTTTTGACAGCTTAAATGTAATTTTACTTTTGAAATTGGTCTTTTGGAGCCCTCAAAGTAGTAGATTTCCAGTTACTTTATTTTTTTTTTTCTTTTGCCTGTGGTGAGTATCAAATGGATTACTAACTATTCTTTTATTATTAATCACTTTCCGAGAATTAATACCTATTTCTGCTTATTAGAAGCAACTGTGTTTAAAGTCTTTGCATTGGGATTTGTGGTTTAAGAGTCCTCCCTTGAGGCGAAGCACTCTTTTCTGGAAACCTCACTTGTCCATGCCCACAAGACTGATGGGGTCCAGGGGCAAGTTCCACAGTTAAGCTGCACAGTCGTCTGTGCGTTTGCAAATCTGGATGCTCAGATGTCACACAGTGAGAAAGGATGTCTCTTGAATTCAGTGAGATTTTATGCTTCAGAGGGTTTCTTTCTCTGAAGCAGTTATAATATGAAAAAGCTCTGCCCCTTAGTTCTGTGATTCTCATTTTCGCTATGGTACAGTTAGTTGGGGACTGTTCCTGAAGTGATTGGATACTGGATACTACACCCTGTGGAATCATTTTTGACTAAGAATTGTATTTCTTTCTACTATGTCACTTTGGTTACATTCTTAACTAGAATAGCTTGTATATGTCATAACGTAACATAAAAATTTTTAAAAATATACTTTACAAGAAGTCTTAGTTCCTTTTTTAGGAATGTAAAATGTGTATGCTCTCTTCCCACAGCCGGACCATATAGTGGTTTAGGCGAAATAATCCATCGGGAGAGCGTTCCAATGCACACATTTGCCAAGTATCTCTTCACCTCTCTCCTACCTCATGATGCTGAATTGGCATACAAAATTGCACTGAGAGCAATGCGGTACGTATTCACAGCCCAGTTGGGCAGAGGCAATCCAAATTCCCCACTGGGAAAAAAATGGCTGTTAACTGACTTCTCATTCATTCATATCTCTTGTAGGCAGCAGCAAAGCTAAAGAAACTATTTATGCTTCTTGGATTGTTGTAGTGGTGGTTTGTTTGTTGGTTTATTTGGCTTTTTATTTTACAGTAAAGGAAGAATTGTCTCCTAGACTGCTATCATACTTGTGCTCATGGTGGCTTTTTCTTACTTTTCTTGAAGCTAGAATTTGGGAATTAAAGAACAATTTTAGGCCAAGTTTAATCACAAGGGAGCAACAGTTGAAATCTTCCTAATTAGTTAATTGTTTTGAAAATATTAGATTTTGAAACAGTGGTAAATAATAAGTTTACTTGACTGAATGTAATAACTGAGGGAGCCCTTCACAGCTGCTGCATCAATAGTGTAGGGAAGGCCATAGTATCGCTGAAACCCCTTTGTGCTCACCTGGAGCTTAAGGGAGGATGAGGCCTGGTGACTAGGGTTGAAGGCAGCACTATTAGGCATTTTCCAGGACCTGCTCTCCTCAGTCTGACTACTACTCCCCAGCCCTCCCTTTTATGAATGATAATTAGATTATGTTGTTCTCTGCCACTGACCTTCCTATTTTCACTTTCCTTTTTATTTATTCTTAAAAAATTTTTTAGAGAGAGTGCACAAGAGGGGTAACGGGGGTGGAGGGGCAAAGGGAGAGAGAGAGAATCCCAAGCAGACTCCACACTCAGCACGGAGCCCAGCACAGGGCTGGATTCCATGACCCTGGAATCATGAACCGAGCCAAAATCAAGAGTCGGATGCTCGACTGGCTGAGTTGCTCAGGTGCCCCTTCACTTTACTTTTTAAAGTCTGTTCATCAAATATTTTTTACCATGAATTTGTCTAGGTGAATATTTTTTAATGAATTCAAGATTATGTTTTTTAATCTTAACTGTTGCCTATTAAACGTTAAGGACCTGAAAGGCATATCTCCTTTTCTTAAAATATGAGATTTTTCCTTTTTTAAATAATTAAAACATTTCTGTCTTAAAGTGCAGATTAGACTTAGTTATAGTCACCAAAGAAAGACAGACCATGTACACACACGCCTAAGAGTTTGAGGTGCTGGGGAGTAGTTTGGTCCCGTAGAATCTTTTCATCAAAGTTTCTGTGTCCGGAAACATTGTAGTGGATTCGAAAGAAATTCTTGCCTGTGTGAGGGCAGCTTACATCTTTCAGGAGGCCTCTTTTTTTATCCAGTGAGTGTGCGTGCTTGTGTGTGTGTGTGTGTGTGTGTGTGTGTACCTACCTGTGTGCCCATGTGTATTGAGTCTGATGTCTTTTAACTTGGTATTCTTTCCTTGGCGCCATGAAATCTGTTTAACCTGTCAGAGAAAGCTTGTTGAGTTCTCTCTTATCTAATTTTTAAAATGTCCCCAGATCAATTAATAACTAACATAAGCAGAAATCCCCCCACCAAATTACTTTATACCCCTTGGTCTATTTTAGGGCACAGTTTTGTAAGTTTTTATTCCCATTTTTGGAAGCTGAAATAGAAGTTGTCAGACGAAGACAGATGCTTAGCTCTATGCTTCCATAAATCTTAAGAATTTTGCTCCTGTTTGAAAGGGAAGAATGCTAATGTTATATGATTGCTAAGACCACTGTAAAGTTGAGGGGTCAAATAAAAGGTTTCTCTGTGATTCTAGCTTATGGGAAGGTATCTGTCAGGTAGAAAGGCTTGCTTTGTAACACTCAGAAACTCACTGATGTCTGTCCTTGGTTGCTGCCAAGGCAGTTTGTTTATGGGGGATATTAGTAGGGCCCTGGGGGATTGTTTTCCAACCTTTTCTTCTACTTGCCACTAGTCCTGCTAAAAGACTGCTGTGGAAGGGAGGTAGTGTGACCTACTAGAGTCTCTCAAGGCAGCCAGGGCAACAGGAAAGAAAAGAGACCTGTAGCTTACTTGCTTCTTCGTCCTTGTGGAAGTGAGAGAAGGGTGGGAGAGCGGGAAAAGGGTGTTTTTAGCACTCATTTTCTCATCCTTTTAGCATATTGACCAGTTTCCTCTACAGCAACTCTGGAATGATCTGCCTGTGAACACAGGGGCATTCTAGGTTTTTTGAAAAGTTAAATAGCAACTCCACCAAAATTCTTCTTACTTAATAGCTTACCTTGCCACTCTTTAATGCTCACATCTCTTTGTCCCTAGATAAAAGGAAATGAAAGTGAGGCATTTGGCTTAGCAGAGCAGTAACTGCTCTTGGGTGAGGCCCCAAGGCCAGCCTCACACCCTTTGGTCTTCAGCTCTTATTCCATAGTCCCTAACACTGGTATACCTGAATTAAGGTCAGCGTTTTGATGATTGTAAAGGAATAATTGCAGTTGTAGCTACTCTGCTTATCTCTTTGGTACTTCTATCTGGAAGAGATTGCTAAGCACGTGCTTTGTTTTCCAATAATTGTTCTTTATTTGTCAACATATTCTCAGTCAAACATAGACTGATTGAAATTTAGAGATCTCACTGAATTTATGCAAGACTGTCAAAGGACAAATACTTGGATCATTTGCATTCATCATCTCTGATAGGATTGATAGAACATATTCTAACTACAAATTCCTGAAGTAATAAGGAACTAATTCTGCAGGAAGCATGAGTTTATTTTTTGTCTAACTTCCCCTCTTATGTTGTGTTTTAATGAGTTAGCTTATCCATTTCAGCTATCCACTGATCCCTGACCGTTGCAAGCTCAGTCTTAAATGTTCACCTGACTATCAGTTTCTGTTGATTCTTATTTTTTTAATGAGTGATAAGATTCAAAAATTTTAAAGTAGGTAAACATCGAGCCTTGTGTTTCAGATCTCTTCATTGCTATATATCTTAATTTCCTTGAATAATTGCAATTTTTTGAATGATGCTAAGGAAAAGAAATCTCTTAAGTTTGGGTAATGAGCAATTAACAAGGTGACTTTGGCATCCAGATAGCAGAGTGTAGCTGTACCAGCTCTTCTTGCACCAAGGACCTGAGCAGTTTCTCCCAGCATCTACCCATTCATCTGCTTTCTGACCAGACCCTGTGGCCAGGGTGATGGACCAGGAATAACTGGGAGCCAACTGCCTTGTCTTCTCATTACAGGTTACTAGTATTGGAATCTACTGCTCCAACTGGAGACCTCACCCGCCCACACCATATCGCGTCAGTTGTTCCCAACCGATATCCTCGTTGGTTCACTCTAAGCCACATAGAATCCCAGCAGTGTGAGCTGGCATCCACCATGCTAACTGCAGCCAAAGGTATTGGATTGTCCTGAGACTTCATGATTAAATAGTTTGCCTTTTTTATTTAAACGGTCATGTTTTCCATCCAGTTCTCAGTAGTGGTGCTAATGTCTGGTTGTAAGGACATTAGCTTATAAGGTAAAACAAGTGCTACTCACTTGAACCTGACGTTTTCCTCTTTTAATTGCATCATTAAACTCGGTGCTGACAGAGTTTAGGTTTAGTGTCATGCCATCTAAATGTAGGTTTAGTGTCATGCCATGTAAATGTGGTTCAGGTTCAGAAGCAGATTAAAATGTTAGGTGACATATTTTTTTTTCTCCCTGAAATATTCACCAAAAATATGTAAGTAGGAACTAAGGAGGGTTTTTTACTATCTCATGTTCATTCCGGTTAATTTTGCGCCTTTGTTACCGAGGATGTGTCTCCGTGTATCTTTGTGAAGCGGAGATTCATAGGCATGTAACTCTGGAACACTTAGTTGTAGTGACATCTGTGCCATATGTGAACATTTCAGGTAAATTAACTTGCGCTTTATGTTTTGTTTTGTTTCCTTTTTTCCCTCCCTCTTGTGTGTGTGTATATGTATGTGGTTGTATGATTTGTTTTGTTTTGCTTTGGTTTGGTTTTCCCATGTTCGTTGCAGGCGACGTTCGGAGGCTGGAAACAGTATTAGAATCCATCCAGAAAAACATTCACTCCTCATCCCACATCTTCAAGCTTGCCCAAGATGCATTTAAAATAGCAACTCTCATGGACAGTTTGCCAGACATCACTCTTTTGAAAGTGTCTCTGGAGCTGGGCCTGCAGGTACATGACTGGTGGTCTTTCCTGGGGCACCACGAACTGCTAAATAAAGGCATCATCTTAGGGTTGTTTCTGTTTGGATATTTTAGTGCAGGCAAATGACTCTTCAATGCACAAAATGGTTAGACTTTAGAAGAGCACTGTATTTCAGAGCTGTGCTCATTGCCAGCTGAACCAGACTGCTGCCTGAGGTGCAGGGACTGTACTTTGAGAAACCCTGTATGTGTCCTTCAATAACAAAGGTCATTTTCTGAATTATGGCCTTAACACCGCTGTTTGTCCTTTAATGAATAGAGGAGATTGTTGCTAGTAAGAGACTTAAATAGAACTATCGTGTATAATAAAGAATCAGTTGTGGGGTTAAATTTTTAGAGGAAGTATGAATTTTTATTGATGTTTGCATTTTCATTATAGATGGGCAGTTCTAGCTCCTTTTTATAACCTTGAGAAAGTTAGGTAAAGGAGGAATGATTGGGCCAGGGTCCAGTTCCAGTATTCCGGCAGGCTTTCTTAGTCATACAAATGGATGTTTGCTTCCTTATAGTTTCTAAAAAAAATTCCTATATAGACCAGGAACTGAAAAGTTTAAACTTTGATCTGTCTCAGGAAATCTCTCCATTAAAATATATACCATGTATACCATTAAAAGCATTGAAAGAAATTATTACATAATTACCTTAAGTATGGGGAATAGAATGTCCTGATCAGATGATGAATGTAGATTTTTAGTTACAGAGTCTCCTCATGATGGTTAATAAAGTTTAAAGACTTAGATTACAGGAAAATGTACTCACCCTATATAGTAGTGTCCAAGTAGAGGGTAGAGAGGATTGCTGCTATACAGTGACATTTCTTTTTAAAATAAATGTTTCTTTTTAAAAATAAATTTGTGCTCTGTGGCTTATTTTTGTTATCATCTGCCTCTTTAAGGAATGATGCAGAAAGTACCATTAACCAAGCTTTTGGTTATTTGGAATTCTGGCAGGTTTTTTTTGGAAAAATCTGGCAGATCACTTAGAACTTAACCCCTGCCTTATTCTTTCTAGGACCCAACAAGAAATCCCACAATGCCTTTCTAAGGCTTTAGGCATGTCATTCCCCAGATGTTCTAAACCTTAAAGGGTGGGGGAAGTAGGAAGAGGTGGATCAACTTATTTTAGGATCTTATTAGAAAGTAAAAAACAAAATCAGATGACTAATGATGCCAAAAAATGATTTCTTTCCGTAGACCTAGGCATAGCTTCTTGATCACCAGAAAAAAGAACACCCAGATTTTCAAGGAGTAACTAAAATGATTATTTTAAAATACCTGTTTGTCCACGGAGAGGTCCTAGTCAGAATTAGTTCATGAAGAGCCTCAGAAATCTAGAATCAGAGAATATGTTAAAGCTGTGGAGGAGGTGAGGGCATGGACTGTGCTTAATCCTGCAGTCCAGCGCTCTGGTTTTGCAGATGAGAAAAGTGATAATTGAGCAACTGGCCCAGGATGCCGCATCTGGTCAGTCGGCCGATTTGGAGTAGAATGTGGGCCCCCTGCTTCCTAGGCAAGGTCAAGGCCAGCTAGGGAAGCCATGGTCGAATCTAAATTGATGTGCAGAACTTTGCTCTAAATATGGCTCTCCATCCTCCTGGTCATAGGGAATACTCCTAGTAGTTTATACCTTGGGATGAATTATTTCCTTTTTCCATTGACTTAGGGTCATCTTCTGAAATATTCTGTTATCCTGTGTTTATAGGTTATGCGAATGACACTGTCCACCTTAAATTGGCGACGGCGGGAGATGGTGAGGTGGCTGGTGACGTGTGCTACTGAAGTGGGTAGGTAAACTCTGGAGAAGGAGAAACTTTCCCCAGTGCCTCCTGGTTGGATTTAACTCATCATTTATAAATACAAGAATGTTTTCCCTCTTTTACCTGGATTTCTCGAAGGCTCCTTGTTCCTTCTAGCAACCCACAGGGTCTTCCTTTCCTCCAACCCCTGCCTCCAGCCTTTAGTTGTACTGTTCCTCTTCTCAACTATCACATTTGTGAGGCTTCATACTCCTGTTTAAAATTGAATAAGTCACAGTAAATACTTTTTGTTCATTTCTGTCATTCTTAAGGTGCTTTTAGTAACTTTTTGTGATAATCAGGCCTATGGTTGTTTCTTTAAGTTTTAATTTGTATTTATTTTGAGCGAGCTAAAGAGTGAGCAGGGAAAGGGCAGAGAGAGAGAGAGAGAGAGAGAGAGAGAGAGAGAGAGAATCCCAAGCAGGTTCCATGCTGCCAGCACAGCCCAATGTGGGGCTGGAATTCATGAACTGTGAGATCATTATCAGGTTTATAGTTTTATATTAAAGAGTTGCAGAGTGAATCCTTGGTAGGTTGGAAACCACATTTGAAACTAACTTGAGACTGTGGGTTAGTGGTTAGATCCATTTTAATTAAAATAATATAAAGTTATCTAGGTGTGCTGAGATTTTTCTTTATCATCTGAGGGCATATGTCATCATATCCAACAGATAAATGACAGTGTGGGTTAGGTGAGCTTTCGGGTATGTGAAACCTATAAGATCCTCCTGGTTGCCCATAATCTGCAGTTTGTGAGACCATCAACCAACTGTTTCCCCTCTGTTGCGGTAAATCAGTACTAAAGAAAATTAGATTTCCAGTAGGAATGTCAACAAACAAAATGGTGGCTGCTTTAAATGAGTGTTGGTTAAATTGTTTTCCTGTTTGCATGAGAAAAGGGTATATACCCCTCTTGTTGAGAGGACACTGCCACCTGAGTTTTTAGATATTGTAAAATCATTCTTCTTGGTTTTTTCTTTTATTAATCTTAATGGTTTGTTACTTTGGAAAAAAGGAAATTGGTCTCAGTATAAAAATTGAATCATCAGATTGTTGAGGTGATGCTTTAGTGCAGCATTACAAAAGTAATACCGGTTGGAGAACTGCTAATACAACTTCCGTACTCCTGCACCAAGGCATATACCTAATTCTCTTTTGAGTTTTAGTACCTTGTCTTCAGATCACTCGCAGTTAAGATTTTCTTATGGCTCAGCCACATTGGGTCTCTGCCCTTAAAATGGTTATGTTATAAAGATCTTGTCAGACATTCCAACATCTGAGTCACCTGTAGGTCTGCTTCTGTTGACGTTTTTCTCTTGATGACGGATCATATTTTTCTGCTTCTTTGTGTGTCTTAATCATTTTGTATTGTGTGTACTTTAAACTATATACAAACACACACCCTCCATAAAAACTTTCTCTTTTGGTGAGAGTGGTCATTTTTTTCTGACTCAGATTCTGTGGTGGATAACTGACAGGAGGCCCCAGTGAACCAGAACTCATTAGCAATAAGCCATTTTCTGAAATGGCAAGCAGTGCAGTGCACATACCAGCTACCGAGGAAGTTTATTATGGGAAATTCATGTTTCTTTTAGGTATTTCACTGAATAATAATATGTCATAACCTTATTCTAAAAGGTTGCACCCAGGCACATTACCTTCCAGGATTTCATGGCCTAGCTCACGTCCTGTGATGGTTAACCATGTAAACGTTGATTGTTAGGTGGAAATAAGGCAAGACCTCTGTGCAGCCTCCTCGTCAGTAATAGGGCTTCTCTGTGTTCCTTGAAGGTGTCTATGCCCTGGACAGCATCATGCAGAGCTGGTTTACGCTCTTTACTCCCACTGAGGCCACAAGTATAGTTGCAACCACCGTGATGTCCAACAGCACCATCGTTCGCCTCCATCTGGACTGCCACCAGCAGGAAAAGCTGGCCAGCAGTGCCCGGACACTTGCATTGCAGTGTGCCATGAAGGACCCTCAGAACTGTGCCCTCTCCGCGCTGACCCTGTGCGAAAAGGATCACATAGCTTTTGAGACGGCGTACCAAATTGTTCTAGACGCTGCTACGACCGGCATGAGCTACACCCAGCTCTTTACGATAGCACGGTACATGGAACACCGCGGGTACCCCATGAGGGCCTACAAGCTAGCCACCCTGGCCATGACCCATCTCAACCTGAGCTACAATCAGGATACACACCCTGCCATTAATGACGTTTTGTGGGCCTGTGCGCTCAGCCACTCCCTTGGTAAAAATGAGCTTGCAGCTATAATACCTCTGGTGGTCAAGAGTGTCAAGTGTGCAACGGTACTGTCAGACATTTTGCGCAGATGCACTCTGACCACTCCTGGCATGGTGGGACTTCACGGAAGGAGGAACTCTGGTAAGCTCATGTCACTGGACAAAGCCCCCTTGAGGCAGCTCTTGGATGCCACAATTGGGGCCTACATCAACACGACGCACTCAAGACTCACGCACATCAGTCCTCGGCACTATAGTGAGTTTATAGAGTTCCTCAGCAAGGCCCGAGAGACCTTCTTAATGGCGCACGATGGACACATTCAGTTTACACAGTTTATCGACAACCTGAAACAAATCTACAAAGGCAAAAAGAAACTGATGATGTTGGTTCGGGAGAGGTTTGGTTGATAGAACTTGTATGAATGGGGGTGGGGGGTGGGAAGGGAGGGATGGTTTGTTTTTACTTGAGCCTGCCTTTGTACCCTTTTTAACTTAAAGAACAGAGCCACACCGGTATTATATGTGTATAGTTATATTGCGTTTGCAGACTAAATTGTCATGTTGTGAAAGTTTGTGTGTTTTTTAATTTTTTTCCCTTTTTCTTACTTTTTTTTCCTTTCCTTTTATTTTATTATAATTTTTAATTTTTTTCTTTTGGTTTTGTATGAGAGAGAGGTTAAAAAGGTTTGGTTTACACTGAGTATATGTTGTCAAGTGGCGAAAGTCCACATAGCTCTCCTGTTTTCTGTATACGTTCACAGCCTCAAAAAAAAAAAAAAAATAATTGAAATGGCTTTAAAAACCAAACAGAACACCTCCATCCTGTGATAAGTACCTCGAATGGATTCAGCTTTACTCCTTTGTAACTCATCTTTACATTTTCAGCATATTTAAACAAACCAACAAAATGAAATACTAATAGTTAAAAGGCTGACCCACGTGGCTTTGCAGTGCTGTTCGTCCGGAAGCATGGCACACGATGCTTGTGCATGTGGAAACTTAGCGACTGTCAACATACATTCTCAGGGATTTATCAAAAAAAAAAATTAAAAAAAGAATGAGAGCATTTATTGTACTGTATATATATTATAGTATATGTCTGAATATTGAAAATATAACATGAACTAATTTATAAAAAATATTCTATGTAATGCAAAATACTTGAAGCTGCAGTAGCTTGGTTTTAAACAAAAACAAAAAAACTGAGAGAAAACCTATCAGAAGGACTAAAAGAGTGCGCCTTGCTTCAGGGTTGGCTCAGGCGGTGAACTTCATGCTGGGCATCTATGCAGAGCCACCTTTTGGATTGCATGGTTGGACTGCGATCTATTGGGAGAAATGATATATGTATATATATTTATACAGTTTATGTATACATATATATATGTATACACACAGACACCAGACACAAACACACCACCACCAACAACCACTACACCACACATGCTTGTAACAGGCACTAGAATAAAGAGGGACAACAAAATACACAGCCAGAGCAGCAAGCCTTAGCATTAAGAATATACAGTATGCCGGAACTGGGGTTCGTGCCTCCTAGCCTAGGAAACTTAAAAGAAATATCCTTTTGACACGAAACGCAAAATGTTTTCCAAAACAATTGACATATGATACAACGCCTTTGCAGTGAGCTAATAATAAGCTAACCTTTGTGCACAAATAACATTATATATATTATATATCTATTCTGCATAGGTATTTTGACTTTGTGCAGGACAGAAAGTTGTGTAGGTATGACTGTTCTACTTTTCAGTTTTCTTTCTTTTTTTTTTTAAATATATTTTATTTTCTCTAGAATTACTCAAAACAAAAGCAGCCTTCTATCTTGCCTTGTCTTAATGCTTTAAAATAACCAAACTGGAGATCTAACTACCAAACTGTTCATTATATTATTAAATACCAACTTTGGTTACAGTATAGTGTCTTTACTTTAGCTGATGGTTCTGTAACCTTGTGCTTTTTAAAGCAATTTTTATGTTTTGGTGCAAAAGTTGTCCAGTGTCTCCTGTTCCCTTCATTAGAGAACATGCTAGAGGTATGTTTGTAGGTATTTTTGTTTAGAAGAACTATTTCATGCGCTCCATTTTATTTATTATAATAGGTAAAAAGAAAAAAAAAAGGTTGTACTTCATCACCCATGTAAACATGCTCATGAAGTTGAAAGTAATTAAGATTTGATACACTGATATCAATTTATTTATGTAACTAAATCACTGTTTTATAAACTTGTTAATGATCAACAATTTTTGTTTTGATTAAAATTAGTTTTTTGAAAGTTGATTCTGCCTCCTTTATGGTATATCTCGTATTACGCTTGAATTTGGTGATTATAGACCAGGATATTACCACATCTCCAAGTGTTTAATACTATGTTCATTCATCCAGTAAATATTCCTGTACTATTTTCTGGGCCCTGGTGAACAAAATTGCACGCTGGAGCTTACTGTCTACTTAGTGGAGAAGACTGACATGAATCATATAATTACAAAGATAAAATATGAGACAGAATAGCTGATTTTTCCTCAGTCTGTACGTTTGGTCATTCTCCCTAATTAATAAACTATAATATGTTCAGGACTTGCTATATTTAATAAATGCTGAGTTTGTGAGAGGTTTTCTGTGTGTGTGGTTTAAAAGGAAATTGCATTATAGGGAGTGAATGCTGCATATGCAATATAAACATTTGTCCCACCTCATCTCCCTCAGAGATTATAGCAAAATGGTGCAGTTAGATTGTATGTATGTGTGTGTGTGTGTGTGTGTGTGTGTGTGTGTGTGTGTGTGTGTGTCTGTGGTAAAACCACATCACAAATATACCATGTTAATCATTTTTTTTAAAGTGTACATTTTGGTAGTGTTAGTATATTGACGTTGTTGTGCATTATCTCTAGACCTTCCTCATCTTACAGAATAAATTTTATACCCATTAAACAATTTTGTATCCATTAAACAATAGCAGCCCTTTTTCTCCCTTCCCCCAGGCCCTGTATAACCACCATTCTACTCTCTGTGAACTTGATTACTTTAGAAACCTCATGTAAGTGCAATTACACAGTATTTGTTCTTTGTGTTTTGCTTATTTCACTTATTTCTGTAGTATAACATACTCCAGATCCATCCATGTGGTAACATGTGACGGGATTTTCTTCCTTTTTAAAAACTATTTATTATTGAATTATAGTTGGCATATAATGTTATGTTAGTTTCAGGTGTACAACATAGCATTTCAACAATTCTATACATATTCAATGATAAATGTAGTTATCATCTGTCAACACACAATTTTGTTATAACATTAGTGACTATATTCCCTGTGTTGTACTTTTATCTCTGTGACTTATTTTATAACTGGAAGTTAGTAGCTCTTAATCCCCTTCACCTATTTTGCCCCCACCCCCACTGTTTGTTCTCTGTATTTATGAGTTTGTTTTGATTTTAAATTCCACATATAAGTGGGGTGCCTGAATGGTTCAGTCAGTTGAGCGTCTGACTCTCCATTTCAGCTTGAGTCATGGTCCCGGGGTCGTGGATTTGAGCCCCATGTGAGGCTCCGTGCTGAGCGTGGAGCCTGCTTAGGATTCTCCCCTTTCTCTCTCTCTCTCACTCTCTCTCTCTCTCTTTCTCTGCCCCTCTCCCTCTCTTTCTAAAATTAAATTTTAAAAAATTAAAAAAAATAAATTACACATATAAGTGCAATCATGTGGTAATTGTCTCTCTGATTTATTTCGCTTAGCTTAATACCCTCTAGATTCATCCATGTTTTCGTAAATGGCAAGATCTCATTCGTTTTTATAGTTGAGTAATATTCCTTTGCATATATGTACCACATCTTCTTTATCCATTCATCCATCAGTGAACAGTTGGATTGCTTTCATATCTTGGCTATTCTGAGTAATGTTACAATAAACATAGCGATGCTTGTATCTTTTCGAATTAGTGTTTTCGTTTTCTTTGGGTAAATACTCAGTAGTAGAATTACGGGATCGTACATGATTTATATTTTTAAAGAGTTTTATATATATATACATACATATATATATTTTTTCAATCTTTATTTTTGAGAGAGAGAGTGCCAGCGGGAGAAGGGGCAGAGAGAGAGGGAGACACAGAAACTGAAGCAAGCTCTAGGCTCCGAGCTGTCAACACTGATCCTGACATGGGGCTCGAACTCACGAACCGTGAGATCATGACTTGGGCTGAAGTGGGACACTTAACCAACTAAGCCACCCAGGTGCCCCAGGATTTGTATTTGTAATTAGTTGAGGAGCCTGTGTACTGTTTTTCACAGTATATCTTCCCACTAACAGTGCACGATGGTTCTTTTTTCTCTATATCGTCACCAGCGTTTATTTCTTGTCTTTTTGATACTAGCTGTTCTGACTGGTGTGAGGTGATCTCTCATTGTGGTTTTCATTGGCATTTCCCTCATAATTTAGTGATATTGAGCATCTTTTCATGTGTATGTTAGCCATTCTTACGTCTTTCCTGGAAGATGTCTGTTCAGGTCCTCTGTCCATTTTTTAATCAGATTGTATTTTTGGTGTTGAGTTGTGTAAATTTGGATATTATATATTTTAGAGTTATCCCTTATCATATATGTCATTTGCAGATACTCTCATTCAGTAGATTGCCTTTTTGTTTTGTTGATGGTCCCCTTTGCTGTGCAAAAGCTTTTATTTTGGTATGGTCTCAGTTGTTTATTTTTGCTTTTGTTTCCATTGTCTGAGAACCATCCATAACCTAGACCTATGTTGCTGTGGCTGATATCTAAGAGATTACTGCCAGTGATTTCTTTTAGGAGTTTTTATGGGTTCAGGTCTTACATTTAGGTTTTTAAATCTCTTTTGAGTTTATTTTTGTGTATGAGGTAAGAAAGTGGTCCAGTTTGATTCTTTTGGGTGTAGCTGTCCAATTTTCCTCAACACCATTTATTGAAAAGCCTCTCTTTACCCCTTAGTATGTGCCTCTTTTGTCATAGATTAATTGACCACAGAAGTGTGAGTTAGCATTTTCCTTTTTTAAGCTGCGTGGTAGTCCATTATATGTATGTGTGACATTTTGTTTTTATCCATCAGTGTAGATTATTTGGGTAGCTTCCATCTCTTGGCTATGGTATATAGTGTTGCTATAATGTAGATATGCAAAAGCCCGTTGATACTCTGCTTTAAATTCTTGTGTCTTTATACCCAGAAGTGATATTGACAAATAGGGTTATTTTTAACAACACAATTCTTATTACAATTTTTTTTTTTAACGTTTATTTATTTTTGGGACAGAGAGAGACAGAGCATGAACGGGCGAGGGGCAGAGAGAGAGGGAGACACAGAATCGGAAACAGGCTCCAGGCTCTGAGCCATCAGCCCAGAGCCCAACGCGGGGCTCGAACTCACAGACCGTGAGATCGACTGCGCCAGCCAGGCGCCCCAACAACACAATTTTTTAAATGCATATTTACTTTGAGAGAAAGATAGACAAAGTACAAGTGGGGGAGGGGCATGGAGAGAGGGAAAAAGGGGGGTTGAGAGAGAATTCCAAGTAGGCTCCAAGCTCAGCACGGAGCCCAACGTGGGGCTCCATCTCGTGACTGCAGGTTCATGACCTGAGCTGGTATCAGGAGTTGGCCCCTTAACTGATCGAGCCACCCAGATGCCCTAACAAATACGTTTTTTAAAGCTACAGTTTTCAAAATACTTAATCCCTTGAAATATTTGTAAAGTTTCTCTTTGTTACACAGTCTTAATGGTGTATTCCAAATGTTAACAGGTTAAGTCAATAGGTGAAAGTTAAAATAAATGTGTCTCTGGTGACATTTTAAAATCCCATTAATGCCAAGTAGAAATAAAAATTAAAACTAAAATGGTATGAGGGTTGGTTCTGTTATGCAAGTTTATTCTTGTTTTTTTGAAAATTGATGTTGCCTAAAGATAAATATAAATTCACGTGGGTCTATTAAAACAGACATTTCATAATGAAGTGGACTGCTGAGAAGTTAGGAGGAGTGGCATCAGAGGAATAAAGGTGACTGGTAGTATAGAATTGGAGATCTCCCCTGATGGAAAATTCTTTTGACCACCTTTGCAGAGAGATCTTAAAATTATTGTGAGCCTTTAGATAAAAGATGGAGCTCAAGGATGTCAGGCAAATGAACTCACATTACTTTCTCATTCCCGTTTTAGCCAACGTTCTTGAACCACCATGGCTTCAACTCCTAGGTTAGGACTGTGGTCAGGTAGACAAACAGACTTGATAGGTGCATGTTTTCTTACATTCCAATGGGCCCGTGCTAGGAAATGTCCTGAGATTGTTAAAATGTGAATGAACAGGAAGAAGAATGGAGGAAGCGTTAGATAATTCAAGGGGAGAGAAATAGTTCCTAATTGGGGCTTGGACTATAGAATTCTACAATTCACTGCTCTTGATTTGTGATTTCATTTGAGAATGGAAACTAGTTTGGGGGGGAAATGAATGTTTCATAACTTTCGAATATTGTCAGTTGAATAAAATTATTAAGTGGAGTCATTGTAGCCACAATATTATAATACATTATGGTAGCAAAGGACATCTGAGCTTTTTCCAAATTGCTGAAAATGTTAAATGCTATCTGTTTCAGGAAGTAAATGGTCAGTGAGAAGACAGGGAGATGTAGGGGAAGAAAATATTACGTAGTCAGGTATATTTTAAAGTAACGTGATTGAAGCAAAATTTAACTGTTTTACAGCAGTAGGAGAACGGATTCAAGCTAGGTTGGGTAAAAGATTGAAATGTAAGATGTACTACAGTGGTTCCTTTAGCCAACATCTTTTGTGTGCCTACCACACGATAGCCATGGTTCTAGGCTCTAGGAAGACAAGTAATGAACAAAAAAATGCCTTTTCTCGTGGAGCACATATTCTATTTTTTTTTTTTTTTAACATTTACTCATTTTTGAGACAGAGAAAGAGCGTTAGCCGGAGAGAGTCAGAGAGAGAGGGAGACACAGAATCTGAAGCAGGCTCCAGGCTCTGAGCTGTCAGCACAGAGCCCAATACAGGGCTCAAACCCACGAACCATGAGATCATGACCTGAGCCAAAATCAGACGCCTAACCGGCTAAGCCACCCAGGCGCCCCATAATGGAGCATATATTCTAAGTGGGAGGAAGACCTAGATAATGTAATTAGCTAGTGATATGTGTTATAAGGAAAAGTAAGGGAAGGGGTGCTATTTTAGGTAGAATAGGCTCAGAGGTCTCCTCATATGGTGAAATATGAACAGATTTCCGAGGGAAGTGAGGGAGGAGGC